AGATAGATCTTTTTTATATTGGACTATAGTAATTAAATAGTTTATATGGCATTTATTATTTCTGGGAACTCTATGTCATATATTTTATTTGTGTTTGATAAAACATTTACGTGTTGATTATTGAAACCAAAATATTGAAACAATATAATTATCAGCTATAAGAACTATTACCAAAGGTAATTTTCAGAAAATGACTTCTAAATTTGTGTTTTTGTCTTTAGACTTCCATTAGTGTTTAAAATGTTTTAAGTGATACCAAGTTTACTTTCTAATTTCCTTTAAAATTTAATTTGATGTAGAGTACTTTTGTGAATTATTCCTTTATAATTGACTTACATTTTGTTTGAGTTTTGAATGATTCCAACGTTTAAACTTTTAAAATTCTTGAAAAATTAGATGTTGATTCAGGATCTGTACTTTCATATCTATCAGGTTTCTAAAGAAACATCATTGTTTTAATAAGGATACTCCTACTTTTTGGAAAGTACATTGTTATGGTGTCATAAATACATTAAGGAAATAACTGGACAAGAGCACAAAGATGTGTATATATAAGGATTTTCAGGAAGGGCTTTTGGAAAGAGTGTTCATCCATGTTAAATGCCTCTGAGGTGTCAGATAAGGGCATCATATACGTTCTTAGCTGCATAGACATTCTTGGTAACTTCCATGAGACAGTTTAGTGGGGAGTAGATGTCAAAATACAAGATGAATAGAGGGTGAGAAAGTGAAAACTAGGAATAGAAATTAACATGATAAGAAGCTTGTTTATAAAGGGAAAGAGAAAATGTGGAATCTAAGGTGGGTTTTTTGAAGTAGAAGTGAACATGAGGCTGATTTGATAGAAAGCTCTTATAAGGTATGGGTGAAAGCTGGGAAAATGGGTAGAGTAAGGTTCCTGAGTAAACTGGAGTTCATTGGATGTAGAGCACCAGTGGAGGGGTTAGTTATTGACTAGAGAAGGGTCATGTGTTCCTGAGACAGGAGGGAGGGTGAGAAGGAAGTGCCTAGAGGAAGATATTTTGCGATCATAACTTGATGTTAGGCAGCGTCTGGGTTACGAACAAAATCCATTCCTAACTCTGTCTTTAAGAATTGTTAGCTCATCCGAAATAGGAGCATACAGTTCTTATTTAGCTTTACTTTGGTGCAAGAAAAAGCTCAAAGCCTTTTACAGTTATGTAAAAGATACATGTCAGCAGGTAAAGGTGATTGTGATAAAAGAATTTGTTGTGAGTAGAGGTTGGCAAAGTGAGGGCAAATTTATATAGCATTTAAAAAGGGCTTCAAAGATAAAGATAGTGGCTGACACTGTCTCTTTCTTGTGCATGGCTTTCTATAGTCCTGTTAGTAATTCAGTGTCACACATCAGGCTCCTGAAAAGGTTCACTATAACTTATACAAGTCTCCCATTTCAGTGCTTTGACTTATAATTTTTCCTGTTCTGGTTAACATGACAAATCACCCAATTGAAAAATTCAGATCTGTTCTTGTTTCACTTCATTGACCATGACACAACTGATAGGAAGTCTTACGTTAAAGGGCAAGTAGGAGTTATCTATAAGTTGGATGTTTGTAACTCGGGAACTACCTGTATTCCACAGTGGTTTAGTTATTTTTGTAAGCATTTACTAAGAACTCCATAAAATGATGCAGGAAAACATCTCTTAAATATGCTTAATCAAAGAAAATAAAATAAAATTACCTAGATACTTGGTAGAAAATACGTATAAAAATACAGACTTCAGTGCCTTTCCAATGCTGATTTATAGATTAATATAGTGAGGGGAAAGGGCATTCCAAATAGTCTGAAAAGCAGTTAGGGCATTAAGTGATAACCTATAGCAAATTCAATTATAGGAAGAAGATCCTTTGATATATTACTGAAACTAAGATTGTGTATAGCACTTTCCACAGTGCCTGACATTTAGTAAACATTATAGTTATTCTCATATTTCTTATTTCTCTCAATGTTAAATACTTCATATTTGTACTGGTTAATTTACTTAACTAGAATTTTGGAATGACATGAACTTTGAGAATACACACAAGCTATAATTTGTAATGTTTTTATTTTCACAGGATTTTCTCCCTTCTCTCAGCAATACTACATTTGGGCAATATCTGTTACAAAAAGAAGACATACCGGGATGACTCCATTGATATCTGTAATCCTGAAGTACTGCCTATTGTCTCAGATTTATTAGAAGTGAGTGATTGCATTCTCAGTTGTCTTTTCAAATACTGGGCAACTTCTCATTTTTTATTTTGTATAACTATTCTATCAGTATAAATGGATTAATGATTTTTACTAACGATATTTCGCCAAAAGAGGAATTTCTCTTATCTTCATTACTTTGCTGTTGAGTGTGCCAGAATCTTTTTTGGGTTTCTTCCCTAATTTCCCTTGCTCTGGGAATTCATAATTCCTCTGTTTGCTGGAGATCATGAGTACTTCCACTAATGTTCTAGGCCTATATTTAAGTTTTTCTTCTCCTTACTTTGAGGTTTTTTCTCATACTGATACTGTGGTTAGGTTTTTTTATTTCATGATAGGTATCTGCATGGATGGAGAGAAAAGGTATTGCTTTGCTTTTCTTCATGGGCTGGATCATATTTAAAGGTCCTCATCTACTGTGCTGCTTCCTGCATCAAAATATTTGTTACTGTATTCTTTGTGGAGTGATGATTTCCCAGCTAACTACTCATCTTGCTGGATTCATCTTAAAAGTGATGTTATTTTTTAATAGGCTTTCTCTGCTGACAGAGCAAGGAAAATATATATGTGTAAACCACCAGGATTGTATGCGCATATTTTTGTTTCTATATATAACTATCTGTATCTATATAAAGCTAAACATGAGTTCATACTCATGCCCCCAACTAGTCCATAACCATATGGATAATTCTAGCCTTTCGCTTTAGCTTATCTGTAAATTCTCCCTCCAGTTGTGAGGAACCTGACTCCCACCATCTGCCATCCATGTACTTAATTGTTGAATTCCAGTATACATGTACTAGAGTTTTTAAGCCATACCCCTGGTGGGAAGCCATTTTATGAACTAGAATATAGTATAGTGCTTATGTGAAGTTTCTTTTGCCTTTAGTTTTACCAAAATGTACTGCCATTGAGTCGATTCTGACTCAAAGTGACCATATAGGACAGAGTAGAACTGCCCTATAGCGTTTCCAAAGCTGTAAATCTTTATGAAAGTAGACTGGCTCATCTTTCTCCTGTGGAGTGGCTTGTAGGTTAAAACTGCTGACCTTTTGGTTAGCAGCTGAATACTTTAACCAGTGGGCTACCAGATACCACTTATTTCCAAAACTACTTAGGTCAACACCTTTCCTCCTGAACCTCTTCTTTGAGGTTGTTTCATACAACACTTGTATGAAACAATTAGATTCTCCTGTTATAGTCTATATTATTTCCTGGGATACATGACTTCCTAAATGATTTTTTTTTTTTAAAAAAACTTGCATACATTAAGCTTAACTCTCTTTGTTGTATGGTTGTATGGGTTTTGACAAATGAATAACGTCATGTATCCACCATTACAGTATGATGCAGAATAATTTCAGTGCCCTAAAATCCCCTGTGCTTTACCTATTCAGTCTTCCTGGCCATCCCCTGGCAACTACTGATCTTTTTACTGGCTCTATAATTTTGCCTTTTCTAGACTGTCATATTACTAGAAGCATACAGTGTAGTCTTTTCAAATTGACTTCTTTCACTTAGGATTATGGATTTAAGATTTATCTATGTCTTTTTGTGACTTTATAGCTCATTTCTTTTTATTATGATTAATGTTCCATTGCATGGGTGTACCAAAGTTTATCCTTTCACTTATTGAAGGACATCTTGGAGGCTTCCAGTTTTTGATGATTATGAATAGCCTGCATTTTTTCCGTTAAAATATCACTCATCCTTCACATCTTGATTCATATGCCACTTCATGGTATTTAACCTTATTAAATATTCTAAACCCACTCTCTTAACATAGAGCGTTTGCTTTTACTTAGCATAATTAGTTTTGGTTATGTGTTGTTGTTGTTGTTGTTATGTGCCGTCGAGTTGGCCCGATTCATAGCAACCCCTCCTTGGGTTTCCGAGGCAGTATCACTACGGAAGTAGGATTGCCCAACCTTCTTCAAGTTAATTGTTTACTAGTTTATGTCTACTATAAATCTACAGTGCTTTTTGAGAGTACTTTATCTAACCTTACAGTGTTTATTTTTTTCTGTGCATAACTGAGCATTCTTATTAACTGTAATGGAATGAGCTAGCTTGGTGGAAGGGACAAGAAAAGGGAGTAACTTGAACTGGAACTAGACTCACTCATTGGAAAGCAGTTCTACTGGTAGGTGGAGTGTTGTTTCTGATGGTTGTGATAGGAAGGTCATGAACATCAAAGAACAGATGGTGTTTCAGTCAGACATTTCAGGTTCTATTTTAGTAAAGCATTTAGTATTGTGCTAGGTAATATAGCGGAAGGAAGGTTGGGCAATCTACTTCTGTAGTGATACCGCCTGGGAAACCCAAGGAGGGGTCACTATGAGTTGGGTTTGACTTGAGGGCACATAACAACAACAGGTAATACAGGGAATTGTGGATAGTGGTCTTAATTATAAGCCTAGGTATTCAACAAATACCAAGGCTTTTGGGTCTAATGCAGTATTCCTTCTCTGGTGGAAGGCTGTAAGAACGACTCACATAACTAAGACAGGAACACAAGTATTGGTGAAAAGGGGGGAAAAAAATAAAAGTAGAAGAATTCCAGTTCTGAGAATCGGTCTTACCAGTGATTTAATACCAGGTCTCATTTTTGAAATCAAGCCTCTTAAATTCCTTTTTGTTAAATTCCATAGTTCCAGGAACTGAAGTTTGGTGTTAAGTAGAAATAAGATAGCATCTAAATTCAGAAGCTAGAGATTTGATAGGACCTACCATGGTATCCTGTCTATAGTTAATTCTTAGGAATTGCTTAAATAAGTTATTGCTATTAATTGATTAAAATTGATAGTAATTATAACTTTAAGACTTTGGCTGAGGTGAAATTGAAAAGGATAGATATAATAAAAAGTTTAATTAAAATTTAAACTTTTTAATTAAGAAGATTTAATTTTCCTTTCCCCTCTATCTAAAGTGTTTCAGTTCAGTGATAAAATATAGATTTAATTTTTAGAACATAAATGCTTTTAAAATAATGGCTTAATTTTATATCTTTTTTCCCCACTTATTTTTTGAGGCAACTTTAGGCAAAAAGTGAATGTATGTCTTTTGTTTACCATCATGTATTGGGACAAGTGCTTGTGAAATTATTGAAAAGTGAACAAATTCCAGTAGTTGATTGTGGAAATATCTTTGTTGTGAGATAGTAGAACCATTTCCATTATCCCAAACTTCAGTTTTTAGCAGATTTATGTATTTTAAGCATGTTTTCTAGTAATAAAGATTTTTTTTTTTTAATTTTAAAAGCCATATATGTATAAAAGAGAATATTTGGAAAATTTTAGAGGTAGCTGATTAAAATATCATGAATTCAATAATACTTTAGTAGCATTCTCAAATACAGTGAGATGATTAGTGTTGTGTGTGGTTGTGTGTATTTGTATAGTTCTGAGTATGATTTTAGTTAGATTTTATTGCCAGTATCAAGCCCACTCCTTAAAATGAGCTGGATAGTTTTCCATTCTTTTTTTTCCCTCCTAAATTAAAAAAAGGGATCATTAGCAGAGAATAATGTATTCCTTACAGATTTGAGATATATTAACCTTATGATCAACTGTATTGATGCCTTTTCATTTGTTCCATGTTAATTTATTTGTTTGGATTTTCAAATCTGGCTTGAGTAAATTTTGTGTTTTTCTAGGAAACCTTGTGTTACATTAAATGTTTAAAATTTATTATTTTTATGTTGGTGGTAGATATTCCATTAATGTTTTAAAGTTTTTCTTTTACTATAGCATTAGGTTTCTATTTGTTTGTATCTCTTAAATTTCTTTAAGATTTGTATGAGATTTGTCTTCAATTTCTTGTTTTTAAATAATTGCCTTTTAGATTTATTTTTTGACCATTTTACTTAACTATGTATTTCTGTTTTCCCATATTCTTTGTTTTTCCCCTTTTAAATTATAAAATTTTATAACATAAAATATTATATAGAAAATAATGTAATAAACACCTGTATACTTCACAGCCCAGCCTGAGTAATAAAATATTTGAAAATAAATATACTTCAATTGAAAATTATAATTGAAGCTCACTATATGCATCCTCACCAGAGATAACCATTAACATGGATTTGCTATTTATGATTCCAATTCTTATTTTTATAATTGCAGTACAAACAAGTTTTTCATAAAAATGTAGGTTTGTTTTGTATTTTTTCAGATTTATATAAACATTACATTGCTATCTGTTCTTCTACAGCTTGACTTTTCCGTTCTATGGTTTTGAGATTTTTTCAGTGTTGATTTATATATTCTATATTCTTTTTAACAGCTATATAAGATTCTGTTACATGACTATAACGTAATTTATCTCTTTTTCTGTTTATGGATATTGAAGTTATTTGTTATGTTCCTTTTTTAGGTAGTACTACAATAGGCATTCTTGTCCATGCCTTGTTAATGAGTATACAAATTATTCTGGCATATAGTTCAAGGGATAAAATTTTTGGGTTATAAAATTTTAAGCTTTTACTGATATCAAGAATTACTCTCCACAGTATTTGTACCAATTCATACTCTCTCTTTAAGTGTATGAACGTGACCTTTGCTCTACATTGTTAACAGTTTTATGTCTGTTCCTTTTTAAAGATTTATTGAGTCTCTGGCATAGACCTTTTAATTTTAAGTGTTCACTTTTAAAAATATTGCTTAAATCTAGAAATATATCTCAAAATATTTGTATTTTTTCACATGTTTATTTCTTGTTTTTCTTAGTTTTATTATCGTTGTATAGTGTAATATTTTCCTTGTATATATTACTATAGGAGGTTGGAATTTCGTGTTTAAACAGTGGTAACTCATTTTTAGTTTTACTGCATTTGGGGAAGATAAAATGTCTCCAAGTATTTCCAAGTTTTAGAATTTGAGGCTTGAACAATGGATGCTCCAAAGCATCTCTTCATGGTATAATATTTATTAGATATTATTCAATCAGTATTGTTCAAAATCATCCTTTAAATAATTCTTGATCTGTCATAAATTGCTGGTGGTAGAATAAAGCCTCCTTCTATAGTTCCCCCCTTCTAGTTTTAAATCATCCTTTAAATAATTCTTGATCTGTCATAAATTGCTGTTGGTAGAATAAAGCCTCCTTCTATAGTTCCCCCCTTCTAGTTTTATAACTTAGTTTTCCCATTTACTCTAAAATGATTTGCTTGATTGTAAAATACCCCTGTTTTACCCATTTCTTGTTCATTAGTGTGGCAATAAATCAAAAGTCTGATAATACCAAATATAGCATAGTTTGAAAAAAATGAGAACTTTCAATGCTACTGCTGAGAGACCAAATTGGAAAAAATAGTGTACAGGAGTTTGGCAATAACCTATAAAGCTGAAAAAAGTATGCCCTATATCATGGTAATTCCTGTGCACTTTAAAGAAACTCTTCAACTGAAATGAAAGAATATTCACTGCAATTTATTTTCTAATATTGTAAAATTATAATTTGGATAAATGCCTGCACGAACAGGAATGATTTACACACTGTCGTACATTTATATGCTAAAACACTATATATTGCAGTTAAAATGACTAAGTTGGATCTAAATGATCACTACAGATATTGAAAGCTTATGGGCAGTATGATACTATACAGGCAACGTTTAAATACACATAGCAATATAATGTGCTGTTTATGAATACATCTAATATAAAAGTTTGAAAGCGTGAACTGAAATTATACGTGTCAAATTCATGATACAGTATTTGCCTCTGGGGAGAGAGTGAGAAACAAGAAAGCATCAACTTTATTTTGATTAAAGTTTTACATTTGTAAATACAAATAAACTCCTGAATCATATACATCAATAATCTGTTGGAATGTTCCTGGCATTCAAGAAAGGTGGTCTTTCTAGTCCTTGTCTCTAGGTTGTGAGATTATGATTGATCTAATTTTTTTTTTTTTTGCTGTTCTGTACATGTTTCTCCATTATGGTCAGAAAACAAACTTTAATTTTAAAAGAGCCGTTTCATACTGTTTGCCTTTATCTTATTTTTTGAGGAAGTGGGACAAGTGGGGCACTTAAATTCTACTTTGGCAGCCATTGAAATCACGAGCATACTTTCTTTTCTCTATTGTGTATTTGGGAGCTCTGGTGGCGTAGTGCCTAAGGCACTTGACTGCTAACCAGAAGGCTGGTGATTCAAACCCACCAGCCACTCCTCGGGAGGAAGATGGGGCAATCTGCTTCCATAGTGATACTGCCTCGGAAACCCAAGGAGGGGTCACTATGAGTTGGGTCCCTCTCGACGACGGCACATAACACCACCACCACCAACGTTGTGTATTTGCTAGTCTCATTAAAATTTCTTTCTTTATTTGGGCTTTCAATAAAATAATTCAGCCTGTTGTCACAACTGTTTATTGTGATTTAGGTGAAAATTTACAACCCAAATTGGTTTTCCCTTCAATGGCAACGGTTCATAATCATTTGTTTTCTGATTTTGATTGCATTCCCTACAATGTAACAGCACACTTCCCACTTTCTCCCTATGTATTCTGTTTATATTTGTCCTTCTTTCCTATCCCTTCCTGAGTTCCGAGTTTTATACCTGGGTACATGCTACCCTTTTGATCTTATATGGTTGATTGCTACTTCGCTGGTATTATTGTTCACCTTATAGGCCTGTCGATTGTTTGGTGGAAATTTGAGCCACAAGGGGTGAATTCAGTTCTAGGACTGAAAAGTGACTGAGGGCCGTAGTCTAGGTGTTACACCAGTTTCTATCAGACCAGTAAGCCTGGTCTTTTTTTTTTTTTATGATTTTAAGTTGTGTTCCACATTTTTCTCCTCTGTCCAGGACCTCCTGTTTGATCCCTTTTAGAGCAATCAGCAATTGTAGCAAGGCACCATCTAGTTCTTCTGGTCTCAGGGTCATGGAAATGGGGGTTCAAATGGTCCATTAGCCCTTTGGACCATTTGTTTCCTTATGTCTTTTATTTTCTTCATCCTTCTTTCCTTTGGACAGGGAGAGCCCAAGAGTTGTACCTAAAATGGCCACTCACTGGCTTTTAAGATCGCAGTCAGTACTCAACAGTGTAGGATGTCTAATTGACCTTGATGTCACCCGAGGCTGTGGTCCTGAGCTCCCCCAGGTCCAGTGACTCATTCCCTCAAGGTTATGGCTAAGAAGTTTTCATAAATTTGTTCCGTATTCCTTACTGTATTCATGGATACATATGTATCTTCTTTCAAACCTGTATATATTTGTGGTTGTGGTCCCATTTGCCTTCCCATCCCCTTTCAGCTTGTGTGTCTGTCTGTGTATCCACTTGTAGATCATTGTAATTACTCTTATTGCCGGACTGGGCATGTAAATAAATCTTACATATTGAATTTATTTTTCTACTCCATAGGTTAAAGAAGAGATGCTATTTGAAGCATTAGTTACCAGGAAGACTGTGACAGTAGGAGAAAAGCTTATTTTACCATATAAGCTGGCAGAGGTATGAATAGATTTTCTTTGAAATCAGAATACATTGAACAAAGTACTTTGAATATTTGTAGAAGTTTGGGTTTGTGTTCATTCCTTTACAGTATGAAAATATTGACAAATATTTTATAGGTCTTTGAAATTTTGATCTTGAACTTTGTATTAATTTGGAAACTTAAAAAGTTATTGTCCTCTGATTTTAAGCAGTAAAAAACAAAACAAAACAAAAAACCTCACTGCCATTGAGTAGGATCTGACTCATAGCGACCCCTCCTTGGGTTTCCGAGGCAGTATCACTGCGGAAGTAGATTGTCCATCTTCCTTCCGAGGAGTGGCTGGTGGGTTTGAAGTGCCGGCCTTCTGGTTAGCAGTCAAATGCCTTAGGCACTGCATGCATTTTTCTCAAAGGATTTTATGGTATTCACTATTATTAATTTTCATATTATTAATATGGGGTAGATAGATAATAGGTTAAATTATAAATAAGTAGCATTTGACCCAGTTGATTATTGCTTCTTAAGATTATTTATTTATTTATATTCCAGGACATCATACTCTTCTGGTTTATTCCTACATTGTTGGCCACTCCCTTGTGGTCCTTTTGCTTGCTTTTTCTTTTATTCCTGACTTTTAAAATATGGGGTGCCTTAGGACACAATCTTTGTCTCTTTCTATTCTTTATGTAGATTATCTCACCCAGTCTCCTGGCTTTAAATATCATCTGTATACTGAAGCACCCTGGTGAGATTTATTGCTGTAATGAGCCACTATTACTGCCACTTAGGACCTCTGGTGGCATAGTGGTTAAAGCTGCTACCCAAAAGGTTGGAGTTTGAACCCACCTGCCACTCTGTGGGAGAAGCTTTGGAAACCCTATGGGGTAGTTCTACCCTGTCCTAAAGGGTTACTATGAACTGGAATCAATTCGATGGTAGTGGATTTGGTTTTCATTACTGCCACTACTATTATACTCTTCAAGTGTATTATTGTTGTTTTTGTTATGTGCCATCAAGTCGGACCCGACTCATAGCGTCCCCTCCTTGGGTTTCCGAGGCAGTATCACTACGAAAGTAGATTGGCGCATCTTCCTTCCGAGGAGTGGCTGGTGGGTTTGAACCGCCAGCCTTCTGGTTAACAGTCAAGTGCCTTAGGCACTATGCTACCAGAGCTCCCCTTCAAGTGTATAGAGGTGGGAAAATTATTGAAGAACCACTATGTTATACAGTAATTTTATGAAAGTAATGAGAAACTATAGCAGGAATGTGGGAATAGGAGATACACAGGTAGGGAAATTGTGATTGAACTCTAGAGAATGCTCTGTAGGCTGACTTTGATCCATTTATCCTACATTTTGAGTACCTCCTAACTGTACCTTCAAGTCTTTATTTTTCATTATGTTAGCGATATTGTGTCTTATTTTATAGTCTCATATTATGTGTGCTCTTTTCTAAATGAGAAAAATCTCCAAACTTTTCTAAGAGTTTTCTTCTTCTTTTATGTAAAGGTTTAGAGCTTTTATATTTTCTTTCAGAACTTTTTTCATTACAAAGAATTACTTTTTTTTTTTTTTTTATTAGGATTTGGGTGAAGATTTACAGAGTAAATTCACTTTTCATACAGCAGTTCACATATACTTTGTCTCATGTCATTGACCAAAATTTGCAATGCAGCAGCTCCCCTCCCACTTCCTCCCCATAGTTACCTCCTCCCAGTGTCCATCCCTTCATACTCTTCGAGAGGCCCATTGTCTGCCAACCCTGTATATGATCTTGGATACACTCTCCATTTAGACATACATAATTGTTTAGCTTGTTCACCCATCCATCCGTCCCTATACCCATGTTTGCTTTCATTGACAACTCAGTATTGTATTTACAAAGGGGTTCATATTTGTTGTTTTTACTGCCCATGTAACTCTCTCTGTCTTTCTCATCCTCAATGCTGCCATATTGGTCACTCACATTTGGTACATTGCCCTTCTCTTCACCCAAATCAATATTTATCTCTATCTATCTAACAGCATTCCCTCCCCTTCCCTCCCACCCCTGGTAACCAACAAAGAAAATGTCCTCCAATATATAAACCTTTCCTTAACTTTCACAATAACGGACTAATACAATATTTGTCCTTTTGTGACTGACTTATTTCGCTCAGCATAATGTCCTCCAAGTTCATCCACGTTATGTGGTGTTTTGCAGATTCTACATTATTCTTTAGCGTTGCATAGTATTCCATTGTGTGAATGTACCAAAGTTTGGTTATCCATTCCTCAGTTGTTGGACATCTAGGTTGTTTCCATGTTTTGGCTATTGTAAATAGTGCTGCGATGAACATCGGCGTGCATATATCTGTTCTTGTTATGACTCTCACTTCTTTAGGGTATATACCTAGTAATGGGATGGCTGGGTCAAATGGTATTTGTATTTCCAACTTTTGAAGGAATCGCCATACTGCTTTCCACAATGGTTGTACCATTTTACAGTCCCACCAGCAGTGTATGAGAGTCTCAATCTCTCCACAACCTCGCCAGCATTTGTTATTTTCTGTCTTGTTGAACTTTGCTACTAGTGCTGGAGCAAGATGGTATCTCATTGTTGTTTTGATTTGCATCTCTCTAATAGCTAATGATCGTGAGCATTTCTTCATATGTTTGTTGGCCGCTTGAATATCCTCCTTGGTGAAGTGTCTATTCATGTCTTCTGCCCATTTTTTAATTGGATTGTTTGTCTTTTTGTTATTGAGGTGTTGGAGGGTTCTATAAATTCTAGAGATAAGTCCCTTGTCAGATATGTTATTACCAAATATTTTTTCCCAATCTGTAGGTTCTCTTTTGACTCTTTTGGAGAAGTCTTTGGAAGCACATAAACATTTAATTTTTAGAAGGTCCCAATCATCTGGCTTCTCTTCTGCTGTTGGTGCATTTTGAACAAAGAATTACTTTTACGCTTATTTACATTTAACTTTAAACTCAACTTTCTGAAGAATGAAGAAAACCAAAGATGCATGGAAAGAATTAGTTCAGTGGACTAATGGACTATGTGAACCTCAGCCTACATGACCCTATGACCAGTAGAACTAGATCATGCCCAACTACCCCTGTCAACCACTTGGAAAGGGATCAAAATAGGAGATCCTGAATAGAGTGGGAGAAAAATGTAGAACAAAACTCAAAATCATAAGAAAGACCAGGCTTACTGGTCTGATAGAGGCTGGTGAAATCCCCTAGACTGTATACTCCTTAGTCCCCCTTCAGGCCTGGAATTGAACTTACTCCTGTGGGTTCCAGCCAAACAGTAAAAGAAGTGTATAAGGTGAACATTCACACCAGGTAGGTATACTCCTTAGAACAATCAACCATGGGAGATTAGAATGGCAGCATTTATACAGGGAGAAAACTTAGAGGGCAGGAATGCATTGAAATGAAGGACATGGGTAAAAGGTAACCAGGAGGAAGAAGGGAAGAGAGTTGTTACATTATGGGGATTAAAGGGAAGAGAGTTGTTACATTATGAGGATTGTAGTCAATGTCATTCACACTATGAGCATATCGACTGTGATGGAGTTCTTGTGGGCCCAGAGGGTAGGTGGGAGTGGGGATGGCCACACCTCCGTTCTCCAAGCGGGTGTAGGGTGTAGTAACAAGAAGAACGTTGTACCTTTTCAGTCTTGCAGACCCTGAGTGTCCTTTGGGTTGCACCACTTGGGAATGTCCAAGTCGTCTGTGCCGTCAGGGTCGCTCAGGTTGCTGCCAGACCACAGCTCCTTATGTATCCTTTTTTGGTATTTTCCCGCAAATTCTTCTGCTAGTTGGGCCTTAGTCCACTTCTGTATCCTTCCCTTCAAGGCTTAGGGGTCCAGGATTATCTTCTGTGTCTGTGTTAATTGGTTTTCCTTTTCTTTGTTGAAGAGGGTCTGTGCAGTCCTTCTGCCTAGTCCACCATCTTGTGGGAACTACCGGCAATCATTATTTTTAATTTCTGTGGATAGCATTCTTACTTCTAGATTATTTCTTTTAATATTGATGGAGTTTATTGGGGTTTATTTCGATTAACTAGTAATAAACTTTTTATTGCTATTATGTTAAAATAGCTCAAGCCTATATATTTACTACTATGCTTATGATCTTTACTTATTTATAGGTACTGCACTGATTACTGGTTAGGCATAACAGAAATACTGTCTCAAAAACATAGTAGCCAGCATCTGAAGTTTTGAATCTCTGTATCTTGTAATTGCTCTTTTGACTCTTCAAAGGCTCTTGTCTTATGGCCTCATATCCATCAGAAGATCCTGAAGAATATAAAGTTTTTTTGTTTTCTTAGATTGCTGTCAGTATACATTTATTATATACGTACTCCATGGGTTCCACACTGTTGTCTGATAATCTTTGTACTTTTCTCCTTTCAACTTCCTTACATACCTGTCAACAATTAGCACTCTTCTTCATACACCCTTTGCCTCTCATTTCCATTAGATGCTTTTATTTCTTAACACGTGCATAAAATTAGAAATAAATAACAACTTGTTCAGCTTCCTTTCTGCCTATAATGTTATTTGAGTTTCTAAACTCATTTGTATTCTGTTATCTCAGGAAAAAAAGCAGGTTTAAGTCAAAATTTTCCATCTGGATCACAGTCTAAGAGAGCTCCGTGATCTTTATTGGCTCTTTCTCCTTGGCATATGTGTTTGCAAGTTGTATGTATTAAAATAAACTCCCACTTGTCCTTTGGTTTTCCATTATTCTTTCTTTCTCCTTCTTTGCACAGCCCAAGTTAGCCTCTCCTATTTTCTCTTTACTCTTTTCCTTTTATTCTAACTGCCCTTTCCCCCCACATTTCCTTCATTTAGATCTCAGTTAATGTTTCAGTAGTACCTTGAATCCATGCAAATATCAACCGTGAAGAGTCTGAGATTTTACCCTACTTACTGGCTAACAAATTAGCCTCCCACAGTTTCACAGAATATGGCAGAGACATGATACTCTTGGGACAGAGATAAAGGACTTTATAACTCATGGCATAGTAAACAGCATGGGCTTCATGTTCATCTCATTTCCCCTTGCCACCCAAGCCCCATAGGAGTGATGTGGAGCAGTCTAGGTGAGTTTGTGTCACATGCAGTGGTATTGCGTGCAGCTGAGGAACCAATCCTGAATTTAGAAACCTTGGTCTTTTATCTTGTAAGCAAACCTGCCCAGTCTTTACTTCAGAAGAAGACATTATTTATTTTTTTAACTGGATAAAAACCATATCTACCATTTGCCACAGAAGGTAACATTGTTTTCTCTTTAGAAGCTCTTTATTATTCACACAGTTTTTCAGTCCATTCCCTTTGTGAATGGACATTTAAGTTGAGTTCCAGCTAGACTGCAACCACAATGATAAATATTATTGACTTGTGCAAGACATCTCTAGAACAGTGGTCCTCAAACATTAGTGTGCATTAGAATCACCAGGTAAGCTTTTTAAAAAACAGACACCACATTGAATTTCTGCTTTTAGTCTGTCTAGGGTGGGGCTTGAGGATTTGCTTTTATAGTGTTTCCAGTTGATGTTGATGCTGTTGCTGTTGGTCTGAAGTCACCCTTTGAGAACCACTGCTCTGAAATATGAACTGAGGAGCATGATTATGGGGTCTTGGTTTTTATATGTTCTTAATTGATCTGTAATACTAGATTGCTTTTCAAAATGCCTGTGCTGCTTTTCAAAATGCCTGTGCTAGTTAAGATACTTAACAGGGCATGAGAGTTCTTCACTTCTTACGTATTTGCTAACACTTTGCTGTTACCTGCTTTTTGACCATATGATGTGTATGTAAAGCAAACCTTGTTTAAATGTTCATTTCATGGATTACTAGCTAGCAACTTAGATGCCATACTTTTCAAATTACTTATATCCTATAACTATAATTATCAGTTTCCATTTTTTCTCACTGATTTAATTGATAGTGGAAATATAGAGTATATATTTTCACCAAAATGTGGATGATAGAATAGGAGGAGTTTAACAATTTAGGAGGAATTAGTGCCATCCTGGATTATAGAAGTAGTTTTCAGAATGATTGCTTTTATTAGGCTGTGAAAAATTAGAGAGTTTGAAGTGAGGAAAAAAATAAATTGCACAACTCCATAGTAAAGTAATTGTTACTTTTTCTGAGAGAGAGAAATTCTAGAGGTTATTGTGGGTGACAAGGTAAAGACAAATAGGAATGTAATTGTGGTGGTATTATATGTATGTTTTTAGACTCTGATTAAGATTCCAGAGATACTAGAATTGTATTTTATTAATCTAGTGTGTGACCATATATTGCATTCTTACTTTGTCCTAACACTTTATCTAGATATTGATTCCTTTTTGCTAATAGAGATTTCTTCCTCTGTGTAGAATACATTTCCATACTGAGCTGGCATTGTCCATTTGTTTGATTATGCATATTTATACGGAACTTTCTATTATATTTCTTTTCTAGGGGAAATACATGCCTTAATTTTAAGTAAAAATGTTTTGAACTGAATGACCTATATTTTGTTTCCTATTATCTTTCATGGCAGTTGTGACCATCCATCTCCTTTCTACCCCATGAGCCTAAATTAATGTGTAGTTCTCTCAATTTCAATTTTATACTATTTATCTTAAGAGAAAAATTCAGGAGAATAAGCTTTCTTTCTTGAATGATAGGAAAACAAAGTTTGTTACAATATCTGAGTCAGATCATTGCCAGTTCCACTTGTACTCCTAACTCTTTTCTTATTTTTTCAGGCTGTGACAGTAAGGAACTCCATGGCTAAGTCTCTGTATAGTGCCCTATTTGACTGGATAGTTTTTCGAATTAACCATGCACTTTTGAATAGTAAAGATTTGGAGCAAAATACTAAGGTAAATGTACATTTGATTATGGAAAAGTTTTCCCTTAAAATTGTTTTAATGAAATGGTTAAATATATGAAATAAAAAGCAACACGGAATAATGTAGTATAGGTATGAATCACCCTTTACAGTACTCCCTGCTGCCTTCTTTCCTACTGCTGTTTTTATGATTCAAGGGAAGTGTATCTTTACAAACCTTTTTTCCTATGTATTTATATTTCTATAGATGTGCATACACAGAGTTGCTTTTAAAAATATAAGTGGAATCATGCTCTCTGTGTTGTTTCTGACTGATATTTTTTAACTTAGTGTGTCTTGATATATATTCTTCATCATTATGTATATGAACTTCAGTTTGTAATAACTTTGAAGTATTATATAATACATATTGTTGTACAAATATCCCTTTAAATTCCTGTTTAAAAGTCTTTGAGTACATACAAAAGAATGGAATTGCTGTGTCTTATCATGTACTTCGATCATGTTGTCAGAACAGATTGGTCCCTGGAGAAGGATATCATGCTTGGTAAAGGACAGGGTCAGTGAAAAAGAGGAAGACCATCTTCTAGATGTGTTGACACAGTAGCTTTGATGATCGGCTCAATCATAGCAAATATTGTGAGGATGCTCCAGGACCTCACAGGGAAGTGTTTTGTTCCCTTGTGCATAGGGTCGCTATGAGTCAGAGCCAACTCTATGGCACTTAACAACAACAACATGGTAATTCTATGTTTAACTGTTTGAGGAACTGCCAACTTGGTTTCCACAGTGGCTACATCATTTTGCGTTTCTACTGGCAATGGATGAGAGTTCCAGTTTCTCTACATCCTGGCTATACTTGTTATTTTCTGATGATAGCCTTCCTAGTAAGGATGAAGTGGCATCTCATTGTGTTTTTTTTAATTGTTGTAAACTTATATGTAAAAAAGTGTTTTCATAGTTAAGTCACATTAATTGGTTCATCATGTTGTGCAATCATCACCATTATCCATTTCCAGATATTTCTATCATCAACACAGGAAGCTCAGTGTTCCCTAAGCATTGAGTCCCCCTAACTGATCCCTTCTGCCTGCCTCGGGTAGCCAATGATAAGTCTGTATACACTTGCCTATTCTAGATATTTCATGTAAGAAGGATTATATAGTATTTGGCCTTTTATTTGACTTATTTCTCACAGCATGATCTTTTTAAGGTACATCCATATTGTACTATGTATTAGGATTCCATTTCTCTTTATGTCTGAGTAATAGTTCATTGCATGTGTGTACCGTTTTTGTCTATCCATTCATCTGTTGATGGACATTTAGATTGTTTCTACCTTTTGGCTGTTAGGATTACTGCTGCAGTGAATATAGATGTAAATGTATCTGTGTTCCTGCTTTCAATTCTTTTGGGTATATACTTAGAAATGGAGTTACTGGATCCTATGGTAGTTCTATGTTTAATTGTTTGAGAAACTGCCAGACTGCTGCAGCGCCAGTATCATTTTATAATCCCGCTAGCAATGGATGTGGGTTTCTGTTTTTCTACATCCTCACCAACATATGCTGTTTTCTATTTATTTAATCATAGCCATCTTAGTTGGCATGAAGTGATATCTCGTTGTTTTGATTTGCATTTTCCTAATAACTGCACCCAGCAACAACAATGACTAATAATAACATTGAGTATCTTTTCATGTGCTTATTGGCTTTTTGTATCTCCTCTTTGGTGAAATGTCTATTCAAATTCTTTGCCCACTTTTAAATTGGATTTTTTTTTGTCCTTTTGTGACTATATTCTGAATATTAAACCCTTAGCAAATATATGATTCCCAAATATTTTCTCCTCTTATATATGTTGTCTCTTTACTTTGTTCATAAAGTCCTTTGATGCACAAATGTTTGTAATTTCAGTGAAATCCAATTTATCTGTTTTGTGCTTTGTTACTTGTGTTTCTGGTGTCATATCTAAGGATCCATTATTGAATACTAGGTCCTGAAACATTATCCCTATGTTTTGTTCAAAGAGTTTTATGGTTTTAGTTCTTCTGTTTAGGTTGTTGATCCATTTTTTAGTTAATTTTCATTTGTGCTAAGAAATGTGGGTCCAGCTTCATACTTTTGCATGTGGAAATCCTGTTGTCCCAGCACCATTTAGTGAAGAGACTATTTTTTTTTCCTATTGAATGCACTTAGTTAGCTTCCTTGTTGAAAATCAATTGACCAGGTTTATTTCTTTACTCCTCAGTTCTATTCTATCGGTCTGTATGTTTAACGTTATAATTTTTGATTACCGTAGCTTTGTATAGTACATTTTGAAATCATGAACTGTTGTTTTTCAAGATTGCTTTTGACTATTCAGAGCTCCTTGGAATTCCATATAAACGTGAGGATTGTTTTTGTTATTTCCACATGAAAGCTGTTAAGATTTTAATAGGAATTATGTTGAATCTCTGTGTTGCTTTGGGGTAGTAATGACATCTTAACAATATTACATCTTCTCATCTGTGAACATAGGGGATCTTTCCATTTATTGAGGTCTTCTTTAACTTCTTTCAGAAATGTTTTATAATTTTCAGTGTATAAATCTTTACCTCACTGATTAAATTTATATCTAACTTTTTTTTTTTTAAGAACCTATTTAAAATGGAAGTGTTTCCTTAATTTCTTTTTTCTGTTTGCTCATCACTGGTGTATTGAACCCAGTTGATTTTTGTGTTTTAACCTTGTACCCTACAACTTTGCTGAATTCATTTTTTAACTCTAGTAGCTTTCTTGTGGGTTCTTTGGGATTTTCTCTATATAGGATCATGCCATCTGTGACTCGGGATACTTTTACTTCTTCTTTGCTGGTTTGGATACCTCTTTATTTCTTCTTCTTTTTTTCCTAATTACTCTTGCTGGGACCTCTACTATGGTGTTGAATGGCAGTGGTGAAAGCAGGCATTCTTGCTTTGTTCTTGATCTTTCTCCATGATGTTATCTGTAGAATTTTTATGAATGTTCTCTATCATATTGAGGAATTTCTTTTTTACTCCTGGTTTGATAGGTACTTTTATTATGAAAAAAGTATTAGATTTTCAAATATGTTTTCTGCATTGATTGATAATGACCACATTATACTTTTCATTTGTTCTGTTAATGTGGTATATTAAATTGATTGATTTTCTAATGTTAAATTACCTTTGCATTCCTGGAATAAATCCTACTTGATCCTGGTATTTAATCCTTTTAATATGGTATTGGATTAGGTTTTTTAGTATTTTATTGAGGAATTTTGCATCTATATTTATAAGAGATGTTGGTCTGTAGCTTTCTTTTCTTATTCTGTCTGTCTGGCTTCTGTTTTACAGTAATACTGGTCTCATAGAGTGAATTAGAAAGTGTTTTCTATTTTTGGAAGAGTTTAAGGAAGAAATGTTGTAGTTCCCAAATGAAGCCATCTAAACAGGCTTTTATTTTATTTTTTTCTCGGAAGGTTTTTGATTATTGATTCACTCTCTTCTCTTATTATGGGTCTTTTGCACTATATTTTTACTTTTCTTCCTAAGGACTGGGAATTAGTCAACAGAATTAAACAAAATACTCTTAGTAGAACAACAAAAAACCCAAACTCACTGCCGAAGTTCTCCTTATAATTTAATTGTATCAGTATAATAGTTTGCCCATATGCCTCTTAGCACCTATGGAGAAAAATTTTCATTTAACCCAAAATTTCCATATAGTTATATTCCAAGAACTGGATAAGATGGTGAGAACAGTATCTATATTTAGGGGTATTGAAGCTGAATCCCTATCATTCATAGTAAGAAGTTACTAGATAATGTTAGAAGTAAAATATCAAGAAATAGAAGGAAAAAGATTACTATACTATATTATACTACATTATAACAACCAGCTAAAACACGGAAGTGAAGTTGATGGTAGGGAGCAGAAATTGAAGATGAGGAAGGGATTGTTTTTCATTATAAACCTTTGGTTGGAACTGTATAACATTTTAAGCCTTGTGTATAAATGTTTTTGACTAAAGAAAACAAAATTAATTTTAAAAAAACCATATCTCGATTTCTGGTTTCTTTTCTACCCTTCATGAGGCTGATTAAACATACTTGTTAAGTGTGTTCTTAAGGTAAAATTCCATTTATTGGGATATAGAATTCAAAAGTAGGAAAAATGAAATGATCCTCTTTACATAACCAGTCTTGGTCAAGATTCACTTACCTCTGGTGATCCCACACTTAATGTGAAGTCAGAAGGTTACATAAGTGAAGGATCACTTAGGGATTCATGAGATTTGAGATAATAAGCAACTAACCCTGTTTCATACATTCTTTAAAATAATTGATGGATTACTTTTGTGTTCATATTTTAATATATTAAAATTTAATGTGTTAAAAATTTAAGTGTAATTTAAGAATAAAGATGAAGATAAAGAGAACTACAATGTTTTTTATTTATAATATATTTTACATTAGCAGTGGCCATAAAAAACATTCTACTATAGAATGACTTTGAGTGTTTTGTTATGTATGTTATAGGTATTATTCATAAACTAAATTTGAATATAATTTTTAACCAAAATTTTTGTCTTGTTTTTCAGACCTTGTCCATTGGTGTTCTTGATATTTTTGGTTTTGAAGATTATGAAAATAACAGTTTTGAACAGTTCTGTATTAATTTTGCTAATGAACGTTTACAACATTACTTTAATCAGCATATCTTTAAATTGGAGCAAGTAAGTATCTAAATGCATAGACGTGCACACATGCACTCTCTTACACACATAAAAACACACATGAATTTTTGAGTTATAGTAATGATGAACATTTTAAATTTCTCATTTTAGTACAGGTATTCCAGTCTTTATATCAGTGTAAGCAAATGACAAATCAGAGCATAGTTTTTTAGCCACATCATACAGGATTTTTCTTTATAGTAGATTTGATAATATCTGCTTATTTGAGTGTACCCTTGAAAAAAAGATGTGTGGGTTTGTTAGGAGTTTCATTTGTTGTTTTTCAGTTGTTACCATGGGTTTGGTCAATGTATACCATGGACTAGGTAAACTTGTATGGCTGCTTTGCTCTTTCAATTCTAGAATGTGATAGAGGAACTATTAATAGGATCTTGAGTCAACATAGACTGTGGGTAGAAGAAAGCAGGACATTGTGAGGAGACCAGATGGGTAGCTAGATATTTCTTGTAAGAAACCCAAAATTAGTTGAGTTAGTGTAAAAAGAGAGAGAGCCTTCACTTTTGAAGCGAATTTTTAATATAAAGACAAGGTCAAACAAAATGGTTGGTTCTTTCGTCAAACCAGGTGTATGAAGTCAGTAACAAATTAAATTTGTATGTAGTGATGTAGGCAGAAGCAGTGTTCACATTTGTGAAGAATGAAAAATGGTGTAAAGAATGGAAAATGAACAAAAAGCTTACAATAGGGTGGCAGTCTTTGAAACAAAACAAACAAAAAAGATCTTTCCTGTCATTGGGGCTTGTTTCCCTCTGTCATATCTTTAAGCACCTCTTTTGCTTAGATGGTTATAGGGACTGTTTAGCGTTAGTGTAAGTAGCATTAGTTTGAACATTTGATGAATGCGTGAATTTTTAACATGTAACCTTTTAGCTAGATTCTTGACTAGAATTGTTTGAAGATAGTTGTATTTATCATAGTATTAGGTAACATTTAAGTAACATTTAATATTTGACAGGTTGAGCTTGGATTGGTTCTCCTAATTCATTTCAGTGTATTTTTAAATAGGTCATGCTAAGTTAATACCATTTCTGTTTTGCAAATAGGTATATGTGGTGAAGGGATAAGAGACTGAATTTTTTGGCTTTATTCTGTAGTTTACAAAGCAAAGCATTAATTATTCTGTGGGTCATTAAACAGAAAACTAGTTAAATTGCCTTTGAAAAAGAAGGGTGCTGCCTTATCGTGAACAGTTACTATTCTTACTTTTTCTAGAAGTCTAGATTAGTTATGAAAGAGACATAAGAAATGCTTGATATTAAAAACCTATAGCTGATATCATACTCACTGGAGAAAAACTCTGCTTTTATTTTAAGATCCAGAACAAGATAAGGATGCCAGCTCTGATCACTATTACTCAATATTACCCTCTAAATTCTATCCAGAGCAATTAGACAAGATAAAGAAAGAAAAAATATCCTAATTGGAAAAGAAGATATCTATCCCTTTTGGTAGATGATATAATCCCAAAGAATCTAAAAGAAAACTACTAGAGCTAATAAATGAAACCAGCAGAGTGGCAGGTCAACAGACACAAATACAAAGTCAACAGAAAAAAGTCAGTCACATCAACAGTGAGCAATCTGAAAAGGAAGTTAAGGAAACAGTGCCATTTACATAGCACCTGGATAAATGGAAGGACATTCCATGCTTATGAGTTGGATGACAGACAGTATTGTTAAGATGTCATTACTACCCAAAGCAATCTATAGGTTCAACAAAATACCTGTAAATATTCCAACAGCATTCTTCGCAGAAATGGAAAAGCCAATCCTCACATTTATATAGAGTGTCAAGGGGTCGTATATAGTCAAAGCAGTCTTGAAAGAAGAACAGAGTAGGAGAACTCACAATTTCTGATCTGAAAATATATTTCAAAGCCATAGTAACTGGTCTGGTGCTAGCATTTGTTGTTAGGTGCCGTCGAGTCGGACCCGACTCATAGCAACCCCTCCTTGGGTTTCCGAGGCAGTATCACTACGGAAGTAGATTGCCCCATCTTCCTTCCGAGGAGTGGCTGGTGGGTTTGAACCGCCAGCCTTCTGGTTAGCAGTCAAGTGCCTTAGGCACTACGCTACCAGAGCTCCTGGTGCTAGCATAATGATAGACATATAGACTACACCTACTCCTCATTCATTGACTATATTGATATGCTGGCATTTCACATTTATATTAACTTTGAAAAAATTCTCAGGTGGCACCTCCAGTGCCCACTTGAGGCTGCAGCCAGGCCCAGAGTGCTCTCTGCGCCACCCTGAATGATATACTGGGTCACAAGAGGGGAGGTGGCTGACTAGCCGTGGGCTACCTCCTCCTATTCATCTGTAATGCCTTGATCTGGCCACAGAAGGTACGGGGCAACAGCAGGATGACATGAGATTGCAGACAGGCAGGGGGAGCCTGGATGAGGGCCCAAAGGTGCTAAAACTATTCAGTGGGGAAAAGGATAGTCTCTTTAATAAGACTTCCTAGATGTGATAGGAGCTCTGGTAGCGTAGTGCCTGAGGCACTTGACTGCTAACCAGAATGCTGGCAGTTCAAACCCACCAGTCTTCCTTAGGCACTATGTTACCAGAGCTCCTTGAATAATGATTAAAGTCTTGCTTTTTAAAAATGAATATTATCTATACTACTGAAAAGCACAGCAACAAAACCAAAAAACCAAACTCACTGCTGTTGAGTCGGATGCAACTCATAGCTACCCCTCCTTGAGTTTCCAAGGCGATAGCACTACGAAAGTAGATTGCCTAACCTTCCTTCCGAGGAGTGGCTGGTGGGTTTGAACTACCAACCTTCTGGTTAGGAGTCAAATGCCTTAGGCAGTATATCAAAATTAAAAAAATTTTGTTCATCAAAGGACTTTTATCAACAAAGAAAAGAGAATTTACAGTTTAGGAGAAAAATTTTAGGAACCATGTATCTGATTAGGGTTTAATATCCAATATATATAAAGAATTCCTACAACTTAACAACACACAGAAAACCCAGTAAAACTGTAGGCAAAGGAGACATTTCACCAAAGAGGATATACAAATGGCCAGTAAGCACATGAAAATATGCTCAGAGTCATTAAGGAAATGCATTAAATGAACATTAAGTCATTAAGAAAATGGAATCAGAGCTACAAAGATACATTGTTGTGGTGGTGGTGTTAGGTGCCATTGAGTCAGCTCCGACCCGTACAGACCCTATGTACAACACAATGAAATACTTCCCAGTCCTGTGCTAGCCTTACAACCTTTGCTGTACTTGAGCCCATCATTGAAGCCACTGTGTCAGTCCATCTTGTTGAGGGCCTTCCTCTTTT